TCTGTCAAATTTTGACATTTTGAGTGAGAGAAGTAACTGAGTTTGATGTATATGTGCATGGTATGTAACAGTTGTGTAAAGGTAAAATCTGATACAGACTATTTTTGATGTTACATTTTAATGCCAGTGTCATCTGTAATGTCCAGCAATGGTCAGTTTTTACGTACAGTTTGACCATTCAACATCTGGTCAAAATGGAGACACGAGAATGCATGTGTTCCCTTTAACGCCGGGGACACACTGGCCGCCGAAGCACCGCGAAACGGGGACCGCCTTCATTTGGTGCCCTTGTTATCCTATTCTATAGGAAGTGCTGGCACTCCAGCCCGCGCCGTGCAGCGATCGTTTCGGCGTCTGCTCCATTTTTTTCGTGAGCCGCGTCAATTCTGGCAGGAAGTCAAACCTAGACATAAGAGGCAGGCCGGTAAATTTAATAAAATAAAGCATTTCAAAATACAATTCAAGTCAAATGGGCTCGTGAACAGACACTGCATAAAAACCACACGAACACACACACACACACACACACACACACAGTGAACGTGTGTGTGTGTGTGTGTGTGTGTGTGTGTGTGTGTGTGTGTGTGTGTGTGACCACGTGAAGGGGGTGTGGTTTTGGTTGTTGGGTAATTTCTATATTACTCCCATATTACCTCAAAGAAATTCTCAGCACACCCAGAGGGATTAGATTCATAATTTGGTAAATTGTAAACAACCCTTAAACATACAACAAACACATACTTTGCAAGGTGAGATACTTTGCAAAGGGTGAGAAGAGGAATCAATCCACACCATTCGTGTAACCAGTTTCCTCTCACACTGAGTTGAAAACTCCAGAGAGTATTTATTGGCAAAAACACACACACCCATACATTCCTAAAAAACTCCCTTGGCCTTAGGAATCCACAGAAGACAAAAGGGTTTCTTCAGATAATAGCTGGGCCTGGGCAGGATGGAGAGTTGTTCCTGCCTAAACTCTTAGCCAGGGCAGGTCCCCCGGTTTGGCTGGTTTGGCCTCTGTAATAGAGCTCCGGGAGTTGACGTCACTTCTCCCGGCATGCAACAGTTCAAATCGAAACGGCGCCATATTGGCATGTAGAAGCTGGCAGCTGGACTATTTGTTATTGTCAGAAAACTCAATCAAACGGGAAATATGGTAGATTCCTGTTGTGCCCCAGGATGCAGAACAGACGCGGACGACATAAGGAATGAGCCATCTACAGGATTCCCCAAGATCCGGAGCGCCGCAAACGTTGGATCATTGTAATAAAACACGCTAGTGACCGGGCGAAAATGAAGCTGTGGGATCCCGAGAGTAAAGGTTTTCGCTTATGCAGCGACCACTTCTATCAGGTACTTAAACTAACGTTTCCTCAACTGTGTGTGGTATTTATTTTAAATGCTTTTATTATGATTCTTAGTGGGCTTCCTAAACTTATTTTGGCGTGGCTTTTTCTGTCTTATTACTCATAGCAGCAAGTAAACATCACGTAAAACGTTGCCTCGTGAGTTAAGCGTGCTGCCGTTTCCGTGTTTTATGATGACAGCAATTAACCGGCTAAGCTGTATTTAATTTTTAAGCAATGGTTGATCAATTGTCAGATCACACATAAAAAGCACTTTGGATTGCTATTATCTGTCTCACCAAGACTACTTACGTGTAAATCTGTTATTTGTCCGTCCATCCATCCATTTTCATCCGCGTATCCAGAGTCGGGTTGCGGGGGCAGTAGCGTGACTTCCCTCTCCCCAGCCGCCGGAGCCAGCTCCTCCGGGTAAATCCCAAGGGGTTCCCCGGTCAGGTCCGGTGTTGTGCCGGTAAGAAGTCCGCTCCGACAGCTTCTGGCGTTTTTAAAAAGTATCCCAGGGGCACGGTAAGGTTCGGAGATGTTTAGTCTATTTAATTTCTGACTACATAAAACGATTTCTTCTGTTTTAAAGTGTGAAGTAAACTCAGACGAAGTAAAATCCAAGCGGATCCCGTTCATGTTCATGGTTACATCCGTGTTTGTTTACCTTTTTTGCATGCCAAAATGGCGTCCACTAACTGAGAGTCACGTGGGGTCCGTAGCTCTATAGAACACAAGTACCTGAAGCAAACATTCAAATGTAAATAAGCACCTCAAGCAGAAAGGAGTAGAAAGGAATTACTGCAACCATTTGGAGTGAGGTAACGTCGTTTGATAACAGTTTTTTCCTATCATTGGGTGTCTTTCAACCGGAGCAAACAGGACAGAGAGGCAGAAAGTCGTTGGCCAGCTATTAACAACTGGTTCACACCATAGGTTCACACACATGCGGACAAACACACACAAACAGCAACGGGGAGGGGGGTGTAGAGGAAAAGAGCAGAGAAAAGGCAGAGAGGAAATGGAGGACACTAAGTGGTTAAAAGAAAATCTACGAGGCGCACCTCAACCAGAGCGGAGAAACAAGCGTCTGGTCTGAACTGAGGAGCAGTGAGCAGCGGCCGAATTTCGTGAGCGCTTTGCCTCCCGGCGCTTCGCGGTGCTTCGGCGGCCGGTGTGTCCCCGTCGTTAATCGGCCTGCCTTCATCCCATCAGCTGGAGCTCAGAGTCTCTCTGCAGCTCTGAACACATGATAACGTATTGTCAATAATGATGTTCTCTCCTCAAGGTCCAAGCTTCCCTTATGGTCTTACAGGAATCTTCTTGCCTCTGAATAAGGAACATTTGCAGCTCGGATTAGTTGCTAAGTCAAAGAATGATTTCTTAAATTAAATAGGAACTTATAAAACATGTAATGTAAATAATCATTAAATAAACATTTGTTTATTGCTACTTATAATATTTATAATGTAATGAAAAGCTTTCATTAATCTGTGCTTGAGTGATTGAAGTTTGAAATGAATGTTATGTTATGATTACATTAATTGATAAATGTTTCAGCATGTTGATACCACAAGGTCATCACCATTTGCACTCACACAAGGACAAAGTAAAGTTAAGTTAAACGCGTGACACAGGTTATATCAGAGGTTAAATTGCCAAAGCCATTGCAGTACTACATAAAGTTAAGTTTTTACTCAATTGTTCTGGATTGCTGACATTGTATAACTCACTAATCGTTCCATACTTGACTTACTGTGTAGAAATATGGGGATCCACATGTAAAACTCATACACAACCACTGTTTATTCTGCAGAAAAGAGTGTTCAGAATCATTAATAACAATCACTATAGAGATCCATCCAATCCATTATTCATCAAATATTAACTACTGAAATTTTATGATCTAGTTTATATGAAAGTATTGCAAACATTGCATAAAGCTAAAACCAATACGTCACCCACCAACATTCAGAAAATGTTTGAAAAAAGAGTCAGTAATTATTTCTTAAAAGGAACTGAAGTATTAAAAAAAAACGAAATTTATAACCAGAATGAAGGAAATGACCATCTATGTAAATGGTGTGATAATATGGAACAACCTTAGCAAAGACATAAAAGAATCAAAGTCACAAAATATATTTAAATAATGGCTCAAATCAAGTGTATTACAGAACTACAATAACCTAAATTCAGTTGGTGTCTTATTAGGTCTGTAAGTTACAAGAATATAAAATGAATCTGTGTTTCATTTTGATTTGCTGTTTATTGAGAATTGTATGGAAGCATTATTAAAAAGTTTGGTTTGTAAATAGGGGCAGATAATATAAGATATTTCTTCCTTCTGCCCCTTTTCATTCAAATTATTTGGTGGTCATGTTTATGTATTTTTTATATTGTTTGTATATATATGTATATATATATATATATATATATATATATATATATATATATATATATATATATATATACATATGTCTCAGATCACGACAGATGGATGGAGCCGTGCGTCTGGAACTCAAGGAGTCGAAACAATATCAGCTATTTTCTTAGGCCTATTAATAACACACATATGATTCTGTTCATGTGGAAAGTTTATGTGGTTAAATCCACCAACTACCAGTAAACACATTCTGAACTTGAACTCAGCGCTTGAAGCGGCGCTGCGAGCAGCTGCGACCCAAAAAGTACCAGAACCGCTCTCGGCGCATGCGCAATCATGCATCAACACTGCTCGCCCGCTATTTCCCTAATAACACACGCTGTACGTTTTTATTTCTACACGTTTTTTTACTCACAAAAAATGTCAAGAAAGCGTGCTTGTCGTGCTCATGTCAAATTAAACTGAGCGCAAAACACAGATTTACTTTCTTTATTTCATTTTCCTCATCCAACCCCCATAAATCCCTGTGTGTCCTCCTGCAGCACTCTCGGGGTACACCCGGCTTTAGTAGGAGGGAGACCCGCGATTATCGCTTTGTCACGCATGTCTCATTGAAAATGAATAGAGGAGAGGCGAAGTTGCCTCCCATGTGTCGAGCCCATTAGAAGAGCACGAGCCGTCAGCGCACGCAATGAGGAAGTGCACGTGCGCTCTAAACCAGGTCTGAACCAGGACTAGACCAGTAAAGTGAAGCATGCTTTTTGCTGTTTATAAGTTTCACAATGTCTGGTTTGCACTGATATGTCCCAAGTCCCGAGCCCGCACAGATGTTTTACCGGTACGTTTTACCGTGCCCGTGCCCTATAGCCCGGTGCGCCTTTTGTATGTGTCAAATACCAAAAAGACACCCGTAACTGAAGCTGTGCCCTATAACACGGTGCACCCTATGGTCGGGAAAATACGGTAATTGTTTTAAAAATAAATTCTTACTTTTATAAACCTGACTCTTTTCTGAATCAAAACGAAGTGTTTACAATCCCTGAACAAACAAAGAATCCTAGAATCTTCTGATTAAACACAGTAAAGACCAAGCAAGTTGATATTCTATATTTATATAGAGAATCACAGCTTATTGGTCATAAGTAGAGGTAAAAATATATATATTGAGCTCTTAATGCACTCAATTTCTCAAACCCTACACATCTGATTATATTGGTAGGCCAATAATCTTGGACAACTCTACAAATAAAACAAGAAACAAAATCAAAGACACTGTCAGGAGGGGATCATTTTATGGAAACATCACAACAAAATACATAAATGGTGTTTTTGATTGGCCATGTTTTCCATCATTATAACTATCGCATGAAGATACATTCATTATTTTTTAAGAACGCAAATTAACTCACAGGTTGGTGTTTTCTTTGTCTTGTTTATTGGTTGTACTCATACATTTTCAAATTGACTATAAGCTTTGTATCTAAAGACTCTCAGATGAATTGCATTTTCTCTAAAGGCAGACAGAAACAAAAAAATACACCTGGAATACAAAGCAACTCTCAGTGCAGCGTCCTGAAAATAAATTCTGATTTGATGAATTTTCATCTGATAAAAAAAAAAACTCTACTTCTGTGATGCTACAGTTTCCCAAATATTATTTAATATTTGAATGATCTGTGATGTAACACATCTTTTCTGAGAGTTGCTTTGTGTTGCAAGAACTTGGTCACATTGCAGAGTTTTAATTTTGTACACTTGTGGAGGAACAGTATGGAAGTTTATTGCAGTCAATGTGAGGAAAAAATACAGGATCAGTCGTAATAACATGAGTTTCTCATTTTGAAGATATAAATCTCATTTAAATGAGAAACTTTCTCGAAATACCAACATACAAAAATGTTTTAACGAGAATGTTTCTCAAATCAACGTGTTTAATATCTCGTAATAACGAGAAAGGTTGTAAAGGTCAAATGGTAGTATGTTGTTGCTTTGACTTCAGAAGTAGGGGGGACACAACCGGCATGGGGGGGGGGGGGTCCTTACAGTATATTATAATGGGAAACGGGCTTCAACACAAACGGTTGTTTTTTGCTTGGTCATAGCACTCAACCAGTGTCTATTTAATATAGTGTAACATTGTATTTGGATGGTAAAAAGTGCCGAAGTCAAACCTTGACTTTAGAAAAAGTGGGGGGGGGACAAGTTTCCCCATCCCCCCTACCCTCAAAAAAATTACATCCATTTTCATCACACACACTCCATTACCAAGGCAACAGACTGACAGCTTTTAATAGTAAGAGGTTGTGTTTGTAATTTTAGGACATCCTTTTTGAAGGGTTTTTTTTTATAAAAAGGTTCAAATGTTTTTAAATGTGAAAGCACAAACAGGATGCCAACTTTTACCTTGAAAGTTGCATCTTAACTAGAAAGTGGAAGTATTTTAAATTTGTTTGGACAAGGAATCTATGTGAGGTCTGTTTTTTTTTTTGTGGAGGAAAGAGCTTGACCAAAATGTGGAGGAATACATTCCTGTGACAAATCCCTGCTTCTTAAAGGGCAAGTCACCCCAAAATCAACTTTTTTCTTTTGCTGATAAACTACATAAATAGGTATAGTCAATAATTTGGCACGTTAGGGCATCTTTGTAAAAGTTTACATTTTCTGCCTAAAATTGTGTTGCGCCCTCTTCAAGTAAAAATTCTGGACTGCATTTTAATTTAAATCTGCCATCGCTATTGGCTAAGAGGTACCGTATGACATTAGCTGGTGCGTTATGATGTCACAATGTTGTTGTGAGCGTGTGTGTGTGTGTGTGTGTGTGTGTGTGTGTGTGTGTGTGTGTGTGTGTGTGTCTGTGTGTGTGTATGTGTGTGTTTGTGTGTTTGTTAGCAGCTCCGCCCTCTCAGCCTGCCAGGCAACAGCATTTGTTGCATTTTTCAAACAGGAAGTGGGAGTGGAGTAAGATTCTGGTAGGGGGTGAATTGCTCTTTAAAAAGGCTCTCTCTGACTCCATCGTCTACCTCCGTTTCTTCTAGACGAGATTAACTATCTAGTTATTGCAAGATATTAAACACATTATTCTGGCAAACTTCCTCATTAAAACAATTTTATGTCTTTATTACAAACAGGTTTCTCATTACAACAAGATTTATACAATTAACTCTTATTACGAGTTACTTCTTCTATATTTTTCCTCACCCTGACAGTAATGTGCTTCCGTAGGACAGTAACTATCAACATATTTGTGCTTATCTTTTTTTAACGTTTTCTTTTTTCTGTCAAATATTCATTTTAACAATCTTTTTCACAAGAAAGGACTGAATAACATCTGTCATAAATTTTGTATACCAACATGCTCACAATGTTTTGTTGCTTTTTTTGTACTTTTTGTGTGTGTCACATGAACGCACGTCAAAACAGATACCCTTTTAGTTTGAAACAGTGGATTCTAGGTCTGCCTTGCTTTCCTTTTTGTGGTTGGCAGACTCAACGAAAAGCAGAAGAAAAATAACGAGGGCTCCAGTCAAGTACGTGGGACTCACTTACAGACCTCTGTTATAAACTCAGGACAGAAATTCAGTCAGAAACTGGAAATCGGAGCACAATAAAGGAAGGAAAAATGAGCAGACTCTGTTCTTTCTTTTATGTCTCACATCACATGTGTCTCAAAACAAAATTGTGTGTGTTATTTACTGATTTACACCATCCTTTGTCATCCTTTATCAGGCAAAAATAGTTTTAAATCATCTCATGCACTCTGATACTGAAACCTGTTAACCTTCGAAACAACAGCTTTAAGACAGACGTGTTACTTTTGGGTTGATTAATATATTAATTTCTTTATTTTAAATACTTTGTTGTTTGTGTATCTCTGTTATTTTACAGACATTGTGCAAAAACAGCTGTAGACTACTCTAGAAGGCCACCAGGTGTCTTGGTTTTCATTATTCAGTTTCCAATCGGCTCCACATTTGGCTGGACAACCTTTCTGTATAATCCTGGGAAAAAAAACTACAATTTTTTTAAAGGACAAGCATAATCAAGCAAACACAAGAGCATCAGCTTACATACTCACTAATAATGACAGAAAAAATATATAAGTAGGTGGTGCACTAGTTGTCTCTGGACCAATTGCGCACCCAAAAGTCAGTGTTCATAAATCATATTAATATTAATGTTCGCTGAAACCACAAGTTGATCTTATTTATTCAAGACATAATTGTAAAACATAATTAAAATAATACAATTAATGAGTAAAGAAATAATCAGATTTAAAAAAAATGATTCTACTGCTCACCATTTAAAAAAAAGTTTTTATCTCCATAGTTTTTTGTGAACACATCAACAGGTGAGTTAAACTAAAAAAAACACTCTAAAATAAAATTTGAAAGAACATTTTAAATAACTAAAATGTATTTTTCTGAAACGTTTGTGTTTGAAAAGATTAAGTTAAATGTTTTTGATACATATGAATTTTTTTTAAATAAAAATGAATAAAGGAGCAATGCAATACATAGCCACTGGCTAAACTCTCCCAGAGTTACCACAAGGACCAATTTGGTGTGCCACCCCAAAAATGTATTTGGCCCCGTCTGGCCACCCCTATTAAACTTTTCTGGAGGCACCCCTGCTCTGGACTATCATGAACCTTTAACAGTGATAACGGGTTGTGCTTATTTTTAATTTAGCTAACACTTGAAGGAGCCATAAAAAAACCCAAAGATTGGGTTAAACTATAAATAAATAAAAGTAAACTGCAGGCAGTCCTGTAACATTTCATCTGTGCTTCGGACCAAACCAACCAACTGTAACTGCATCCCTAATGACCACGCTTGAAGTCCACAGTTTCCACTAGCTGGTGGAGTGTGAAACATTTAAACGTGGTGTTATTGAGATGAATAATGTCAGAAATATGTTTTTTGGGTTCATTTTTGTTTGATTACATTTAGTTCCATATGATTTTATCTTCTAAATCGTCTGCTCCTCAGTCTCAATTTGGATTGAAGCCAATTGGGTTCATTGACCCAGGTGTGTGTTAGGTGTACAGAACCTTTACTTTCTTCAGATCGGGACATAAGAACATCATTCTGCTGCAGAAAATGTGAACATAATCAAAAGTAAAGGTTGTAATCCTGTATTTTCAGATAACAATTTACGTAATTTGCTTATTTTAAAAATGTTAAGAGAAAATATCTGATTATGAAAACACATTGTCTAAAAATTTTTGTGCAGTAGCTGTTACACTGTAACACACACACACACACACACACACACACACACACACACACACACACACACACACACACACACACACACACACATGTACACTTTGGACAGTATGCCAGTCCATCACAGCGGCAGGTGTCTCTATTTGCTGTAAAAATGTATTTTCATGTTTTGCTACCATGGCCGTAAAATGATTGATGGCTTTGTTTGAGTTGTGAGGAAATGTAGGAGTTATGGAGGACAGATGCTTTACAAATGAGATCAACCATTAAACTGAAGGTCTTGATTCTATCTAGTTCAGTGGTTCCCAGCTTCTTTTCCTTGAGGTCCAAGACAAGCCTGGCACCCCAGCCCAATCGCTACCTGCACACATATATTAAAATAAATGAATTACAAACATTTATTTAAAAAAAAGGTGTTGTATATAACATAATTTGTATATAATTTTGGTAACCTCACAACCTAAGCACAGACAAGATTGTATGGACTCCCTGTGATCTCTAGTGACTCCCTTAAGGGGTGGCAGACCCTATGTTGGGAACCACTGATCTAGGTCATGGTACTCTGAACTTGTAAACAGCTCCAAAACAGTCCATAAGCTCCAGCTTTTCTTGATTATTGTTTCTGTTTTTATTATTATTATTTATTATTACTATTAATAAGAATCTGAATTGAATAGTGTAACGGTAAAAGTGCTGAATGTTAACAATTTAAAAGTGCCACGTAGTTGTTAAATATACATCAAATTGCCAAATAAATTGAAAAATCATCGTCACATCTGTCAACTTTAATCACGGTTATAAGCAAACAGAACATAAAAATAATGAAATTAATCTGAATATGTTCATGAATATTTTATTTTATTTTTAAATCATAAAGCTTTACTGTGAGACTGCAGTACTACATTAATAATGAATTGTATGTTACATTTACAAATTATAGCTGTTTTAATACAACGTATAACCATAAGCTAAGTTTTTTTATTTGCATTAATTTGCCTGAGAAGTCAAATGGAAAGCTAATGTTGATTTTACCAAGGACTAAACTTCATCTATCAGAGAAGAAATCATAATTTACTTTATTTGATTTGGTAAGTTAAAAAAAATGATGTGCACAACATGTGACATAAACTCCTCCCATCAGAGATTCATTCATATCAACAATGCCTTGTTGTTGTGTAATCTTTATTGTTCCGACAGGAAGCTTCAGTGAGGTTTTTTTTTTTTGCCAAACATCTTTTTCACACCCTTAAATAATTCCCTTTGCGTTTAAATTTTTTGTCTTAAATATCTTTGCTTCTGCAGCCCTGAGAGACCAATATGCTGACTATCCACTTCCTGTCAGTGCTTTGTAATATATGGAGTATCTTTCTCTATCTTTTATTGCCCAAAATTATTAAACAAAACAGGACGTAATATAAAAGTAGCAAATTACTTCATCAGTCACAACAAGCCTTGTGGATTTGAATGCTGCAAACGTAAAATATAATACATTATTTTGCTTGAGTACGATTTATGGGGTTTATTTACATAAAATATGAGATGTGGATTAACTGTTTTAGTCTAATCCAATGCAATAGATTAAAATGTAAATTTACAACAGTGTAGAAAAATAAGTCATATTCCTGGTGTCTGACAGAAGGAGAATGGTTGCTTTGTGTCTCCTAAACTTTATGGTTTTCCTATAATGAACCTTTGCAGATAAATGGGTCCCAATGGATCCAGCTGTCTGTGGATTTCTCCCACAGGAAATGGATTTTATTGACATTAAAGGGGCTTGTATTACTATGCATTAAATTATAAGACTTTAGATATAAAAATAACTATGATAAAACATTTTAATTAATATTTATAGGAAGATAATATTTTAAAATAAATAATGTATTATATGCATAATGGGGTTTTTATTTTTTACTATTACTGTATGATTTTAATTTAGCTTAAAAAGGACAGCAAGATGTTTAATTGCTAAATTCAGCACTTATCAGTTAACTGTATTATACTATATCACACAGTTCACATAGTATTGTGCAAACATTTTAAACCACTCCTATTTTTGTAGGCATTGCTTCCAAGGACATTCTGACTTCATATCTGCATTTGGATTTCTTGAGCTCTTTTAATTTCTTCTTTGCACTTAATTTCTTTTTTCATATTTTTATGAATCTTTTCCTCAACTTTTTAATCCGACCCAGGCTGCATATTATGTTTAAAACTAATGGATAAATGAAGGACATAACAAATATCTACAGCACCTATTTTGAACTAAAATATTATTTACCCATCCAATCCTGTTCTGTTCACTTTTAGAGATTTCACATATGACCCAGGGTAAAATTACATATTTGCTGTTAAAATGCATCTTTTAATTTTTAGGACATACTGAGATCTAGCGACTCTCGTGATCGGTGGGGACATTTATTTATTCAAGTCACAGTTATCCAAAGTGCTCTACTAAAAAAGCAGATAGATTTGGCATAATCAACTTCCTCTCTGCTCCTCTAAACTTCAGGCTTTTATCAGGAAATTGAAAACATCAAAACTTTGTTACACTAACGTCTGTATAAAGTTGTATTTTAATTTAGAATTGTGCCAACAGACTGTCCTCAGTGTTTAACCATGTTTAAAAAAAGTCATTTTGCTAAAGTCTTTTGAATGTTTTCCATAAATCAGAACAAGGAATGTCTTGTAATTTCACCATAATTAGATGTTTTATGTCCTTTTGCAGTTGAAATCATTTAATTAGAACCTTGAAACAAATTGCCGTGTACTCTGACAGTAATTTATTTTGCAGCCAACACGTCGAGGAGATCCTCTACAGAGGAAATTAATTTGCTTTCATGATCTGTAATCTATTTGAAGAGCAGTCTGCCATTTTTGTTTCTGTAGCCATGTTGCAATACATTTATCTAACTCTAAAAGATCCGGGACAATATGAATCAATACATGGATGATGGCTAATTTACACTGAATAAGTGAGCTGCTTGTCGTTGTCAGGAACCCATACGCTTCATTAGTAGCTGTAAACAAGAACTACATACATCAGCTCCATCGTCAGACCCATTATCGATAACTATTGATCACTTTGTCAGCAGTCAGTTTTGAAAGCCTCCAATTGCGATGGCAGATTTGAAGATGCCTCATGCCATCTGTATTGTAGATGTAATTTTGCATATGGCTTAAATCATCGTATGATTGATGATTGTCAGCATCTGTTTATGTGAATGTGTGTGATGGAAAAAAGTATGCAGTTCTTTGCCTGGTCATTATTTTTTACTTTAGTTATTTTCTCTGTTCCTTTTCTAGCTAAATGTTGCTCAGCGTCTAGGTGGCATGGCACAAATCAAAGCAGGCTGCTGCCGTTTGACACTGCTGGGACACATTTGCAACCCAACATTTCCAGAGGAGGGACTTAGTTGAGATGCTGATGAATCTGTGCCTCCTCCTGCCTTAAAAGTCTCCAAATGCTTCCTCAAAGTAAAGTAATCAACCCAGCTGCTTATGCCACAGTGGCAGCTGAGATCTCTTGGTGTATTTATGGAGAGAGCGCTGTTGGAACTGCATGAATTATTAATGAGTCCCGATGTAGATTTATCTGTGACCTCCAGGCCACCTGGGTGCAAACACACGCACGCACATGAACACACATTCACACACTAAATCGGTGTTCATCTTTGTTAGGTTAGAAACGTAGCTCCTCTGATTGTTTTTTTTTTTGTTTGTTTGTTTGTTTGTTTTGTTTTTTTCATTGACATGATGGCAGATTACAGCAGTCCATTAGCCATCAGTAACACCACGTGCATCCACTCGTGGGCTTTCGAATGGTTGAGCGGTTGGCCCACTTGTATTGGTCCAGTGTGATAAATGATTCAAAGTACCGACGCATTCATCTAGAAACAGCACATACCTACGGTATACAGTAGGCCTAAACTACACATACACACACAATATACAAACTACCATTGCCAATAGGAGAACAGTCCAGTTTCTGTGGTGACTTTCAGCATCTCCCAAAAATGTGATTTAGTTGCAAAAGTCATGATCAAAAACCATGTAAACTAATCCTTGGCCTCGTGTTTGCTCTCCTCATGCATCCTAGGCTCAAAGGCGGTACTTCCTTAGTAGGTCGGCCTGCCACATGTACTTCCTCTCCGGAAACCTCTCTGGGATCTTGATCTTGTGGAAGTCTTGAATGCACTTTTCCAGCTCCTCCTCAACAGTTAGCTTCTCCTTGGCAGGTCTTTTCTTGCTGCTGCTGCTGCTGCTGGTGTCCCGGGAGCTGGCTGTGAGGGTGCGCAGTAAGTCACTCTTCCGTCGCTGATCAGACTGCTGAAGCATGGTGACAGGGCCTTTCTTCAACGGCCTATCCAAGGTTTGAACCTTAGCATGAGGGTGTGACTGACGATTAACCGGACCACAGATGACGGTTCCCTGGGGGGAGCTGGCTTCCGACTGGCTCTCCGAGCTTGATGTGGAGAGCTCATTGAAGGAGGTGCCACTTTCACCTTCTCCATCACCCTTGTGCTTGCAGCAGCAGTCGCATGGAGGAGAGGACCAGCGTGATGGACCACCTGAGGAAGCAAACAAGCAGGAGATAAGCTAATATTAGAATCCATGCAGAGCTTCCGTTTCGTTCGACTTCTTTCTTTCTAGACCAATCATAATGGAGAAAAAACTTGACAATGGTACAAAGAGAGTCACAAATTACCCAGACAAGAGAAGAAAGGCAAAGTGGGAAGCAGTAAAAAAAGACAAAGACAAAAATTCAACCATTGCCAAATAGCTATCACCTAGAACAAAGTAACATGACATCAGGAACAACTGGCTTCCCTCCAAAGTATCATAAAAATGAGCTGGGCGATGAGCCTGTATTGTTCTGAGTTCTACCCTCATTCATCCATCCATCTGTCACGTGTGAGAAGTGGAAAAACTGCAACCTTTTGAAAACAGACAATGGAAATTGAAAATGATGCCCTACACTAATGTTTAGTTAAACACTGAAGGCAGTGATGCATGAAAGTTATTACTGTACTGTATCCTCAACTACTTAAAAACATTTTACCTCATTAATATATATTTCTATTCCAACATAACCCTAACATTTAATGTTCAGATTTCATTCACAAATAAACCTAGAAATGAGTTATGATTTAGGTTGCGCCTCTCCAAAACATTCCTTGTGATTCATAAAGCAGTTTGACAGACAAAACAATCAATCATTTGTTACAAAACCTCAACATTTGAACATTTTCAAAACAAGTCCTTTGTGTAAAGTACCTAATGGTTTAAACATGGGAAGTAGCAACGGCTTGAAAGTAGTTTCTTTCAGATTGTCTGCCATAATCTCCAGCAACCATTACTGATGTTTTTCCAAACAGCTCTCAGAGACCTTACTATCAAACCAAAGCCAGCTACTCTTCCAATTTTACAAATGCCAGTTATATGGCAACATCTGCCAATATCATTTCCCAATGAATTACAATTATTCCACATGAATTAACAACAAGTCCCGCCCAGCCACACTACTGAGCCATTTCCGAGTGCATAACCAAAGAAAGATACTTGTTTGGCTCCTAAAAGTGGTATTTTTGGGCCAGGATGGTGAAATAGAAACACATGAATATCATGAAGTTCTGGTTAGGTTACCTGGAAGTTCCGATAGTGGAAACACACCTAATGTTTATGTTTAATGGTTGATTAAACAATGTCATAAAGCACTTAAAGATCTCTGTCTAGTATAATTTTAATAAACTTGTTTTAAAATACTGCAATGCTCTGTTCTTAATAATGTATGTGCTATTTGAGCCATGCATACCCATAGACATATTTGGGGCTTGTCCGGGACTTAAACTTGGATCTTATTGTTTCTAAAACGTTTGGTTTACTGAAAGCCTCACTGCCTGGCCCTTCCTTCTCTATATTATTTATTGACTCTGAAAATTGTTGTTTTGGTCCAGAAGTATGATTCTCGCTTTGTCTGCGAGAGGTTCCGCGTGAAAATCCTGGACAAGCCCCCATTTATTTTACAACCTGGCTTGTGGGACTGCAAAATAAATTGCAAACTCAACTCAGTTAGGTGTTAGAGTATTTTTTGTTAAATACTGCCTGTAAGATGCCTCACCAACACAGTAAAGAGACAGAAGCTCCCAAGGTGATCCGCCTGAAGCAGCAGCAAGCAGGCTTTCTTTTTCTTGTACCTACAATCAAGGGCTGCACACAAGCATGTTTTCCAAGAGCGCTACCCAGCTCAGTCCAACCACAGTTTTCAAGGGCACAGTTCCGTATTTTCCCTCTATTTTCACCCCAATTTTTAGTCCCTTCTCCATTAAGGTAACTGGCAAGGCTTAGTCGGGCGGCATCGTAACTCTGACCGCTGATTGGTTAGTGGGCGGAGTCACTGGTTGCTTCAGAGTTTTCTGCCTTCCGATTCACTTTCTGCAGCCATTTCCTAGTTTAGACTCTGACAATGAGCCATAAAACTGAGCAAAATGTGCAGCAACACCACCATTTTTGAGCTAAATTGTGTTTCTGCGGAAGATATAGATCACCTTACTCTGTTTACTGATCAAATCACACTATTTCTGTCATGAGTAAAAATCCCCCCTCCCTATTTCCTGGTTCACAGTCTGACAAAAAGTCATAAAACTGAGCTAAATGTCCAGCAACACCACCATTTTCCAGCTAAGTTGTGCTTCTGTGGAGCATACAGGTTACCACTGATCACCTCATCCTTTGTTGTCATGGGTAAAATTGAGCACCCCCTCCCCTCGCGACTTTAAGGAGTGCACCCACTTTCTGTCATGGAACTGGCATAGAAACAAAACTACACTCAGATGGGCTGACTCAAACTACGCTGTACAGAGCTGTGTCAAGCTGAGTAGTGCTCTTTGAAAACCACATATTCAGGCCAATGGGACATAGGGGTGTAACATTCCTGAACAGAATGTGTACATAATTGAAAAATGAGCACCTATTTGAGCTTAATCCACCTTTGAAGAAATAGCTAAACTTCCCACTTTTGATGGAATCAATACATCTGTTCAACAATCGTGGTCTTGGCTAGTACTGAAACTGACCCATAACCCACAATTACCACCAAGAGGAAGCTCTTTCTCGTGCTTTCAGCAGTGTGTGAGCGCATAGTAGCCTGAAAGACTCAGGAACCAGTGCAGCTCCACCTCTAAATGCAGGAAGCTGTCATTTATTTTTCATGCTAACCATCTGAATAATTGAAGGGATATCAGTTGCTGATGGACTCTTCTCTGTTTAGCGAGGAGAGATCAAAACCCTTGAGGCAAATACACTCACACCCCACCTCAACCTCTGATTGTAGGAACTGCACCACTCCATCTACATTTCCACACATTCATGCACTGACAGGTTCGGGTTTCTCTACACCTTCCATTCATGAAATTCCATGTATTGTTATGAAAGCATTCTCAATAACATCTGAGCATTTCACTTCAAACAAGACTACAATGTGGCTCAAGATAAAACAATCTGCTTTTAATTGTCTTTATTCTCTGTTTGGCTTGTTTATAGAACAACTGCACAACAGATTAATATTTGTTCCCCACGGTGCTGCTCATAAACAGCCACCATTCACAGTAACTAAATTCATGTGAATATAAATAGAAGATGTATTTTGTAGACAGCTTAACACTGACTTCAAATCCCATGCACACACACTTCTCGCATACTGCTGCTTGCTGTATTTGAAGTAAACCTCAGCCATCAAAGCCCTTGACAGAAATGGAACACAACCCCCTTTCTCATCCATACCAGCCCCGGATCGCTTTAATTACCTCTGGCATTTACACATCTCGGCTTCCACATACACAATCACACACGAGTGCACAAAAAACAGCACAAGCAGCGGTTGCCAGCCTGGTATCTGGGGTACAGATAATTACAGGATGTGTGTGAGACACTGAGTGCTTCAAGGTCACAAGGTTGTCAAAATATGATTTTGAGATGCTAAAAAAAGTTAGCATAGTTATCATGGCTTCACATTTGCAAGATTATCAAAAATGTCTGTGACACTGGTTTTACAAACAGGTTTCAACCAGTCATTCATTGCATTTTATATAAATCATTGCAAGATAACATGCATTTATGAAAAAGCACAATCTACAACTTTATGAATGGCTGAGGGATGAGTTTTTGGATTAATCAGGACCAAATTCACCAACTGTCTAGAGTCTAGCACCTTTATAGCACAGGTAGGCTGTTGTGATCCTAGAATGCCTTTAACCAGCCTGTTTGAGGTGTTTCCGTGCTCCAAAACATCTAATTTACTGGTTGAATCACCTGTTCACCAGGTGTCCAAGCTCTGTAGAAGCATACTGATTAAAATCAAGTGTGTTGGAATAGGGAAACAACTAAAACATGCTGGATAGCAGCATTCAAGAATCAGGATCGCCTACGCCTGTTTTTTAGACTTGCAAACGAACAACTAAACCTCATTCTGCACTACCAACCAAAAGGTACAGGTAAAGGCTACACATGGTTAAATTATACTTTTAGAATGAAAACCACATATTTTTACATAAATTCCTGCGGTGGCAAAAAGTTGCGATACTGACGAAATTACAGAAGCGTATAGCATTCACTTAAAAATCCTAAAAAAACATATTTTACTAAGTTCCAAAATAATACAGTTGAAGCACATGAATAATACTTTGGCTAGAGGATCATTTATACCTGAACAGGTGCAAACTCCACAGATATGTGCAAAGTCAAGAAATTAATAATAATATTTACATGGCTTAGTCACAATTTAGAAACAAGAGTATGTCTCAGTTTCTGAATCCCAAAACCTAATAAAAGTGAATTAAATTCAACAAATAGGGGATGTTTGACTTTCTGTTGTTTACACAGTTACTAATACTTACTAGTAGAGAACATCATCAGGTAAAAACTGCAGAGAGATTATTTATATATTTATTGTGTTTAATACTATTATCCCATGAATAAAAAAAACTGAGCAGTGTAGTGAAAAATATAGATTTATATCTATATTACAAATGTGGTGCAGGTTTAGCTTGTTTATAATCTTATATTAATTAATCGGGGCACCACAAGTTTTCGGAACTGGACTGTTGGATTTAATATCTATATCGTCGCAATGTAATCAGTCTCAGAGTTAACACCACAAATTAATCTAAAGGATGAATTCTTGACAGAATGAGCTGATTTTTTCCCGAGAATTGCTAGACAATGATCAGGCGTTATTTGCGTTTTGTGAGTTTATTACAAACATCAGGTGTGACAATTGACAAAAAGAACCAAACACAGCTTATTGTGTCACGCATGAGAATAAGTAAGTAAATAAACCCAAAGCTTTATGGCAGTGTTATGACATAACTAGTCTGTAATAAAAGTGGAAATTTGGTGATACATAGGATTATAGTAACTATTAGGAATAATTTCTGAAAGGGGAACAAAGGGAGTGTGTGTGTGTGTGTGTGTGTGTGTGTGTGTGCACGTGTGTGTGTGTGTGTGTGTGTGTGTGTGTGTGTGTGTGTGTGTGTGTGTGTGTGTGTTCGTGTGGCTCGTTATGGTAGAAGAA